GCTCTTTTATTTCTAGCAGGATTAGATCATTTCTCCCTCCCCCGTATGTGACCCCGACTCACTCTTTGGGGGCTGCAAAGAGGCGGGGGCTGGGATAGTTTTCAGTCCCGGTTTCATTGCCGGACCGGACAATGGAGTTGGAGGGAAGGTGGGGGGGGCTTAGGCGCCACAGTCCATGCGAAAGAGCATGCTCTTCCCAGTTGAGCACGATAAAGGAAGGTCAACAGGATTCGGCTTGGTGCGATCCGGGTCCCCGTGAAGAAGTGCGTCAACAGCGTGCGCCAGTCGACCTGCAGCGCGCGGTGTCCTGCATACGCGGTAATTGGCCGCGCTCATCGGCAGGAACACCGGGATAGAAGAGGGCGAGCGTGCCGACCCGCCATCTCGAGTGTCTGCTCTTCTTTTTTTTTTTTTGTTTCTTTCCTTCAAAGTCGCGATCCGAGATATTAAGTATTAGAGTTTCGTCTTCGCGGCGAACGCGTGGCGCGTACCAAAAAGGCGATTCCGCAGGGCGCCCAGCAAGAAGAATACAAAAACAACCACCCAAAGTAGGGCGCTACGGCCAAAGCAAAAGAGAGTACTGCCGCACTTGGCGAGAAGAAATGACGAGTCTGGGCCAGGAACAGGCATTGCCGGATGGATCGGCTGGTGCCGTTTATGTCGACATTTTTCTGTTGAGACCCGAGTCGGTGGGTGGGTTCCTAGCTTGCAGTGGGGGTGTTTCAGGGGGTCTCGGTTGTTGGCGCCAGGGACCGAGTGCCAGCAGAGAAAGAGTTTGTGACCGCCGAGAAGCTTGTGAACGACCGAACACCGCGTCGGGATCTGAGTGGGGGGCGCCATGCTTCAGCGTCGATCTGGCCGAGGAAGCCCCGCCAAGCTTCGCCCCTCTTCAGCTGAAGTGGAACAGGAATCTCTGCCCAAAGACGACCTCTGGGCCGAGGTTCGGAGTTGGCAATCTCCGAACTCCCGTCCCTCAAGATTCTGAGGGTTAGGGGTGTTACTTGGCAACCGAAGTCAACAACCGCCCCTGAAAAGATGGCCGGCTTTTTTGGAAATGACTTCTACTCCTCGTATTCAACTTTGATCCCGTTTTGGGCTTTTCTATGCTAGCCTAAAGAACCATCCATAATCCCTCAAAGTCCACGACCCATCGTACTGTATCCAATCCTATCCAAATGCGTACACGTCGCAAGGTTGTCTACAATCTTGGCAACACAGTCAGGACTGGTCGGGATTCGAGCAGCTAGCTCCCAGTGATAAGAAAACGTGCTAACTCAGCATCTAGAGTAGGCACCTATGATATAACCACGTTATCTCAGGCCCCTTATCTTGGCAACCATGGCCATCTGCTTGTTACATGCTCTTTCTTTCCTCTAATCTAGTGAGTACGATTTAAAAATAACTGGCATCCGAGGGCCCGCATCCCAGCCTTAGGTAGGCAAGAACAAGAACACAGACTTAGAAAACCGCTTGCCCAAAGTCGAGACGCGGAAGGTGCATGTGGCTTACAAATGTAAACAAAAACTCATATCATCAGCCTTGAATAGTCCTCTAGCGTAGCGCAAATTCACCCTGTATTTCATGAACTAAATCAGGCTATCGTGCGCCGAGTTATACTACATCATGTACACTACCATTAAACAACGCCATGTTGCCCATCCATCAACAATGGCCTCCGACTTTCCCCCCGCCCCGCCGCCCATGCACCGAGTTCGCATCGCCGTTTACTCAGATGTGCCACGCTTGGCCACCGTGGCAATCGCTGGACGCTCCCACGTACTCGGTCTCCACTTTGAACACCTCAGCCGCATTAACTACCCTCGAGACATGTACCGTTCGCGCGCCCACATGTTTGCCAACTTCATCACCAACCCCCAGTACATCGTCCTGGTCGTGCTTGGCAAGTACAAGCAGCAAGAGGATAAGAAGGTGTCCACACACCCGGTGCCCCATGATCACGGTGCCGATGATTACGAGCTCCTTAAGAAGCTGGATACGGGAACAATTGTAGGAGCAGTAGGAGGCCAAGTCATTGTCGGAGTTATGGTTTGGAAACTGCCGCCTTGGTCGCCCCGCATCGGACAGTTCTCCTCGATCCCACCGCCACCAAACACCCCAGTCTATTTTGACGGCGATCAGGACAGGGACAGATACATCGACCAAAAAGCTCCGAGTCTGCGGTGGCTCCGCCGCGCAATCCAGAGCCTCAAAAAGAGGTGAGTGCTCTCCCCCAGAACACGGCCATATATAATAGACGCTCATCAAAACGCCCTGGCTTGTGCCACTAGATATTTTGACCGCCACCGAACTGTGGAACTATTCGCCGTCCATCCGGCCTATTCGCAATCCGACTGCACCGCCTACATGCTACAATAGGGAATGTATCTATCGGATCGCGATTACGAGCCAATTGGTCTAGTATTGCCGTCCGACTTGGAGCGAAGGTTGGTGTTGCCATCTCATACAATCCTCGCCCAGCACCGAGTCAAGACGAGCATTTTCCCGGAGGGAATCAGCCTGGTAGTGGCTGAATACTCGCCCCTGCCACTGTACATGGCCGACGGGCGTCAGTATAACCGAGCTCGGTATCCCCTGTTGGCCGCCCATGAATGTCAAACCGTTAATCCCCCCGACCTTGTATTATGAAATAGACTTTATGCTACTACAGGACTTATCATCAATACCTTGTTGAGGCAGAGCATGCTAAGCGCCTTGTAGATACTCGCTAATGCTTTGTTAAAATCAATAACCACCTTGGTATGTTTACCATTACACCGTCGAACCTTGGGCAGCCCGCCATCCGTGTGTCGTTCGTGTTTGACCGACGTCCGGGGAGACGACGGTAGTGACAACGTCGAGCAGCTCACTCGCACCACCCTGCAAAAGAGGCGGGCAGAGTTTACCGCCGTGAAGCCGTGTTGGACACATCCTGGCAACAAGAAAGGCAGGAACCTTAGTAACAACCCTACCACAAAGGCACGGCACCTTTTCTAAGCATCATTCTTGAGGACCTCTTGAGAGAGCCGCACTATAATGCTCAGGAACAGTCTACCCGAGCATCGCCTCCTCCTAGATTTCTAGGTATAATCGAGGCGAATGATTGCGCGGTTCTCCATCGGTAGACCATCTAACCCTATAGCCATGTCTTCAATAAAACACAACACCAGACAGCTCAATACCGCCACCAGCCGCGGGATATCAGACGACCAACCTTGACAGCCCCAAGGCACCAACCAAAACTCGAAAACGCCACCCCCCACCACCTGGCACCAAACCACCGTGGACCTGTACCACCCATCTACCAATCCCACGCCCACAATAGACGCCAACACGCGTCCCAAAAGCATGGCGGCGGTGGAGGGGTGGTAGGCACCAAGCAGCCAGCAGCAAGCATGAGGCAAGCAAACAAACCGAAAACTAGACGCCAACACGCGTCCCAAAAGCATGGCGGCGGTGGAGGGGTGGTAGGCACCAAGCAGCCAGCAGCAAGCATGATGCAAGCAAACAAACCGAAAACTAGACGCCAACAGGAAGAATGGAGAAAACCCGATGATCCGCCTTGCCCCGCCTCTTCCATCTATCCACCCATCCCCCTGCCCCTTTCCACTCAATCAATCAATCAATCAATCAATCCAACACTACAGAGTAGCAGAGCAAAAGCTTTTAAAAACAGATGCTTTTCTTACCTTGGTACTGTACCTATCACGTATCACGTATCAGCAGACATGACAGGGACAGGGACTGGACCCACCGGGCCGCGAGATCGGGCCTTGCCGCAGTTGACGCCCGGTCGGAGGCGGTGACGCGCGGGAATTCTCCGTGCGGTTGGTTGGTTGGTGGGGCGGAGACGGGTTGGGAACGGCGGTGGCTGCGGTGAGGCGGATTGGGTTCATCTGGGGGGTTGATGTTTGGTGGTGATGGGTGATGGATGGCGTAAAGGGGAAGGTTGAGGAGTTTGATTCTGAGATGATGCTACTGGGTTGGGTGGGTTAGTGGATGAATACAATGATGGTGGGGGAATCGTGTTGGGGAGGTACCTCTGGGAAGGAAAGAGGTGAAACTTGAGGTGGTCGTAGGTTTGTTGTTGGAGGTTGTAAATGCCTACCTTCCTGGGTACCTATTCTACAACAGCGTCAAACTACGACTCGATGGTAGTCTACTCGACAGCTTGAGTTACCTCTGTTATGGTAAGGTAGATCGTCCACAATTTGATTACGTCTGCGGGGGAGAGAGACTTGCGATGCGCGACACATCGTCCTCCAAGCTCAATATCATCCCCCCTCATGTTTGAACAAGGCTACCCCCGGAGAGCCTGACTCCGCAAACAGCACCCCGTTGCTCTCTGCTCCTTCCCAATCCCTCGCTTTCCCCTCACCAACCGTCATCACAAGGCGAACCACCCTCCGCCACGTAATGTAGGAACAACTCTGCAGCCGAGTCTCAGGGCAGGCTCTCCAGGCTCTGCTGCCGCGGCCGGACGTCGAGAAGAAGACGAAGGAAGCCTATGGCAGCAACCCTTCTCACCGGAACGGCTCCTTCCAGAAACCCCAAGCCATTCATCCCATGCCACAGCCTTGGCCTCGGCCAACACCACCGCCCACTCACCGCCGTTACACCTCCGTTTCACGACGAGCCTCACTGGAGTACCAGTACAAACCGTGCTACATCATCTGCAAAACCCACTCACCATCTTTCATCAGGATTTAGTTTGCATGGCCAGACTCAAGCCAAGCCCGCTTGTTGGCGTCTATCGCTTGTCGACGGATCGAAAGGCCCAACATCGGGCCTGCACGAAGGAGCCAACTGCATAGACGCTCGCCTCCGCCGCCCCGGGATTGGGTCTTTGGGTAGGGTAGGGTAGCCCGCCCTCCGCTCCGAGACTGCCTCTGGCTAGGGTAGTTTGGTACATACATACGGGCAAACGCATGCGGGCAAGACACTCACTGTCCCCACAGCAGCCCGGCTTGGCCTCATGCACACAATCAATCAACAAACTGCCTCGTCGTGGGCGACAGATGAGGCCCGGCTACCTAGTGACGTGGCTCGCAGAAGCACCGGGTCTTGCTTGCCCAGAGCAGAAATCGCAGACGCGTCAAGCCGTTGGTTCAAACGTCGCCCGTCAGTTATCAGTTGCCAACCTTGTCATCCCCCAAACGGCACGGGTGCTGCAGAAGCAATTCGTCATGTGAGAGAGGCCCAAATGGGTTGCTGGCTGCAGTCCAGCGGTGCTGCAACCCATCCCCCGGAAGGTGAGGTGGCTTCCATGCTCTCGTCAGCATGGAAGAAAGCAACAAACTACATTTTGTTAATACCCGGCGTCCAGAAGTGGCATGGAACTTCTGGCAGGAGGAGGGTCGGACGGAGTATGGCGGCGGGTGGGTCGGCTATCGAGTCGATAGTCGCGCCAACGGACCAATCTCTGGCGTCGCCTGCCGCAGGAATGCAGGTTGGTGGCTGCCCGCATGCGAGTGGAAAGTTCCCCCCTCGGCTCACGAGAGACGACGAGAGACGCGAGCCAGGGGGGTCTCGGGCGCGCTCACCGCCGTCGAAGGATCCGGTAGCCGCGACATGTTGCGCAGAAAAACCCTAAACCCAGTCCGGGTGTTGGTCCGCGGAGATGGCGGTCGCGGCTGTTCGGCAAGCCTATTTCATTGTTTTTGTCCGGATGAGGATCGGGAGACGACGAAGCCGGGAAGGGGGGAGAGACTTCGAGAGGGGAGGGGAGCAATAACTGCAGGCCACGCGCTTCTAAGCGCCGGATGCACCTCTCGTGCAACCCCCATTGGCCGGCCTTGCGCCACCAGATCGCACACGCACAGTAGCGGGAATCCTGCCCAGCCATTGACACGCGACGACGAGATTGCAATATTGATTGCCTGCTGGAACCTGATCTTGGTCGGTCATTCCGGCGGGCCACAGATGCCAAGGCGAACGTTGCCGACCCGTGGAGAGGGTTACACCACCTTCGCGTGAGATATTGTGCGTATTTCTGGCCCGTGCCATTTGGGGAAGACCGTTGATTGCCGTTCATATCGAGTGTGTAATTAACTAGTGGGACGGCATTGCTGCTTTGTCAGTGTTTACTTCAGAAGTTGATTGAGTTTTGTTTGGTGAGATTTTATTGCAGACCGAGAAGTGTGTAGTATTTTGGAACACAAATCCGTCTTCGCAACGAACCCCGTGCCTTGTCTCCCGATCCAGGACTGCACCGAAGCTTTAGCGACCGGTCGGTGCAAAATCTTGGCTGGCAATTTATTCCGACTTCTGCGGGTTCGCGGCGCAGTCCACGAATTCCGATTTCGAGCTCGGGCCGCCTAAAGAAGGTTGTCGTTCCGTGTTGCCCTCCAGACGAAGGCGGCCCTTGGGTCAGTGCGCGCGGGGAAGGAAGCCCGAGGGGACTGGTCGAGTTCATAATGCCCTTTCGAAATTGGCTGAGAAATCGGACGGACCTTGAAATGCGAAATTTCGGGTTCAGAAAAAAATGTCGCAACCCGCTGGTGCACGTGGTAACTGGCGATGCTCGTCTTTCTTCTTCTCACAACTTGAACGGTCTGTGCGATGTGTTTCCAGGGGCTTCACATGGCACACGGACGATAACACGGACTTGAAACGAAACAGGAGCGTTGGGCGATTTGGCGATTGTTTCGAGAATGCTTGCGACGATCAACAGAAAACCCACCGACCCCCCTGGGTACCAGCTCCCTGGGAGCCCCGGGGAGTCTGTTTCAGTGTTTCGGTTGGTGCCTTGTTGAGCATCGCCTCCTGGAAAGAGAGGCAGGGTCAAGGCGCAAGGCTTGCTCAGGGTGTTGGACCTGGACCGATAGTATGGTTTTCCCCAACAGCAACGGGGAAGGGCACAGTCGCGTGGGTTCGTCTCGAGGTGGCCCGGTGGTCTCTGCCACGTGCGGACCTTGAAGCTTGCAAGCTGGTTCTGGAAGCCAAGAATCTGGCGATGGCGGCAGCCCTAGCCATTTCGAGCAGTGCTGGTGGTGATCACCTCGTCATGATCGGCCGTGTTGGTGCGGTAAGGTATGTACCCAGTAACTCCCTAACTACCTACATATTTAATAGCCGGCCATCCAGACCATCGGGATTTTGAAAACTCGAGCAATGTTCGTGATTGATGCCGGAACATTGATTTGGTGTAAGTCTCGGCCCTTGCATGTCCATGGCTGAGTCTTCCTTCTTTTTTCCCCGGATGCAGGGCCTTGTGTCATCTCATGTGGCCCCTGTGTAGCTCTGCACATCAACATGGTGCATCGAAGACGGGAAGATCATAATCGTGAGACATTAACAACCAGGGCAGAATCCATCTCGCATTCAATGTTTCAAACCTTGTTGGGTTTCGAGTCTCGCGAGAAGAAATTGAAATACCTACTTCCCATGGAAGTTGCATCCAACATTGAGGGGCTCTGGAGAGCTGCACTCCTTCCTGCAAGAGCTTGGTCTCACTCGCTGCAGGTGGACCTCCTGTCAGCAGCACGGGCCAAAAGCACAGCGGGTCTCGTCCGAACTGCGCAGGTGGTGCCGGGATGGAATCGGGTCTGTGCCTTGGGGCAATTCGTGGGTGGATAAACGATTTCCACGGAGATCGACTTGCCCAACGTGCCTTTCAGGGTATTCGTAACCCCCTCCACATTTTACACAACGGAATCGTCCGCGTTTCATGGGCCCTGACAGTATCTGTTTCTTCGTCTGTCGGCTCTTTCCAGATAAATTGCGAAGCGACGAAGCGAGACCCGATCACACCATACCAAAAAGAAACAAGCTTCCTTCCCTCTCGGCTGGTCGGCCACTTGGGGCATCTGAAGAATGCGCCAAGCAGCCAAGCCAGATGGGTTAGCCGCGCACCTCTTCCATGGGTGACCGCTGGTTGTTTGTTCGTAACTCCCGCAACGCAACGGTTCTTGCTGTCGGGTTTTTCCCACCGAGAGTTTGCACGACCGCATCTGGCTAAGCTCAACCAAAAACGCCAAACCCACACCAAAAGGATACGCGTGCCATCGCCACCTGACTCTCAAACAGCCGTGCCCTCAGGTAGCTGCACGTTGGTTGTTGGGTCAAGCAGGGGCGTGGTCGGCACGGACGGTGGGTGCACGGCATGGACATGAGAGATGAATGAATGAAGGCTTGCTTCTATGCTTCACAACACCACGTCATCAAACCTACGGCGAGTAGTCGTTGGAGAAAGACGATGAAGAGATGCCACGGCAAGCCGAAGCCGAGAGGGGCCACAGAGCTTCTAGTATTGCCGCCGCCGTCACCAAGCGAGGACCCCTCATTTCTCTCAGCAGCAGACAACCGCTCCCAAGTTTTAGCTGTCCCCATCGAGGCCCGTTATCGAGGCCAAGCGCCTGCAGAGCAACCCTATGAGAGCTGGGCCAGCGATCGGAATCGCCCCGCCTTCTCGGTTCCCATCCCATGTCTGCCAGCATGTCTGCCAGATTTGCCATGGCAGATTCGTATTAACGCCGTCTGTTAAGTAATTTGCCCGCACAATAGCGTCGAGGCGGGAATGCGGCAAACAAGCTACCAAAAACGGACTCGACCCGAATCTCCGAATTTACAAAGTACTTCGTACATTTTGCCCTTCCGCCCGTTCGAGGCAGCACGGAGCCCGCTCAGCCGAATTCTTCCTTTTCATGGATGTGCAGCTCCATCACAATCACAAAAAACGAAACTGCAGCTTTCTCTCCTTCAAACAAGAAGCACATCACCGGCATGGCTTCGCTTGGCAGGTGTAGACCACGTCGAGGACGGTTACAGACGGACAGACCCACGCGTGCCACGGTAGCCTCGAAGGTTGCAGTATTGATGAAGCCCCTGCCATCCCAGCCATCCCACCATCCCACCCACCCTTGCATGGACCCCCTGCTACCTTCGACGCAGCAACCTTCAGGGATCTGGTGCCTTAATAAACGGCTCCCGCCTGCCGCCGCTCGCGGTCAGGGCACCCCTGTCCTCTCCAGCCAACGGGAAGCTTGATTCTCAACCAAAGATGGCTCCGAGTACGTACCCCGTGCCGCTCCCGTACCCTTGACTGTCATCCTCCTCCCCACGCCTTCGCTCCGTTAGTTTTTGGCATCGCTTCCGTCTGGTCTTCGGCCGCAGAAACGTCTTTCGACTGCGCTTTGTCTGTCCCGGGTGGATGTTTGCGCAGCTCAGGTATGTACCGCTACATGGAGGACAAGGGTCATGAACCCCCCTCCCCTCTCTCCCTCCATGGTTTTTGCGCTCTCCTTTGGGTTTCGATACCCTTCTCCTCGTGCAGCATGTGGGTGCACCAGTAACACAGAACGTAACCCTGCCTGCTCTTTGACTTCCCTCGCATTCCTGCGCCCTTCTCCTGCTGCTCAACCTCACCCATCCTGGTCAGCTTCCGGTGCCGTCGACTACTGCGGTTCAGCAAGCCACCGCTAGCCTATTCGATCCTTAGATCTCAAACCTGCCGCCGCCCACGAGCTGACCCTGCCACTCGGGAAAGATATAAGGACTCCCCATCCCACCAGCTTCATCCCAACCTCACACTCCACCACTCAGCTCGACTTCCATTACATCTTCTATCTTGTCTCTTTCTTTCCTGTCTCGGGTCGTTTGTCTACTTCAGTCCAGACTTCTTTCCAAAAGTCAACCTGCCTTTCCTCCACACACAGCGACCTCCTCGGCGAGACACCAGTCCAGCATCATGGTTTCCTTCACGACGGTAATGGTTGCTGCCCTGGCGGCAGTGGTGTCTGCTGCTCCCGGGTGCCGGCCGCCCATCAAATATACCCTCCCCAAGATCGGAGGAGGTGAGTCTGCCACCATAAAACCCCCACGAATGGCGACTAACAGAATCTAGGTGAGGAACTTGCCGCGCCGGCCGCCGGCCTCGTAGTCAAGAAGATTGCCATCGGCCACGGAATCCAGAACTATACCTGCGACAGTGCGTCTGCCACCGAGAGCGCCGCAACCGGCGCCGTCGCCATGCTTTACGATGTCACCGATTTCTATCCGGGAACAAGGAACAGCGGCATCAGGCCGGATCTCTGGGACAACCTGCCGATCAATCTGCTCTGGCACCAGCCCCTCCCGCTCAACAAGCTCCCCGGTACCGAGTATGGTGCCGACCCGAACACGCCCTTCCCCGAGCCCTCGGACTTGACCCTCGAAGGTATCCCTCCTGCCAAGTTCCTCGGCCACCACGTCTTCGACATCGACAGCATCCCCGTGTTCGACCTCTCTGCGGCTGGCCTCAAGGCGACTGTCAAGAAGATCGACGGGGAAAAACGCTCCCAAGAACGCCGACAAGAGCATTCTTGACACCAGCGCCGTCGCATAGCTACAGCTCGACGACAACGGCCAGAGCCACTCCAACGGTGTGAGCTCTGTCTTCCGTGTCGTCACGGCCGGCAGTGCTCCTCGGCCCTGCTCAGTCGCTGGCGCCAGAGTCCAGAGCGTGCCGTACGCCACCTACTACTGGTTCTTTGGGTAAACGCGCGAAAAGGAGGAAATCGATTTTGCTCCGCGCGGAGCGGCTTGGAAAGGCACATGACGCGGCACGCGTTGGCTGGCAGCGGGCCAAAAATGGTTTTTGGGGTGCCGATGGGATGGGTGCGGGAGCCCCCTACCACGCCGCCATCCCATTTCCCTATGCGGGAAGCCACTCAGGCTTATTTTTATCTCGGCTCACCAACCACCCGCTCACACCTCATCTCATGCTCACTCATCACCCACTTCCCCAGCAACTCACCCACCGCCTACTGGGATACCACCTTCACGCACATACATACACACACATACACACCACACACACACACACCACACACACACACACACCACACACACACACACACCACACACATACGGCACATACTTTCTCTTCATTCCACTCTTTGCATCCGACCATGCGTTTGCTTGGCACAGATCTGCCTTCTCATTCCCGGCCTGGCTTTTGGTACACAGTACAGCCGTCCGGTTCTGGTTCGGATATACCCTCTCGTTTACAGCATGACGCATCAGTAATGATAGGATTTGGAAGCCGATGGCTATCTATGGGCAGGCGTTTTGTCTTTTGGAAAATATTGTTGGGTCTTCAGTTTCTTGTTTCTTGCATAGAGGGTTATTGGGTATGGAAATACAACGTTTATTGTTCAATATGCCTTATTGCCTGTGCCTGTGTATGCATACGAATGGTTGTGCTTCTGTTGATCACAGTTTGAACGGGGAAATGTAGGATCCCGCCCTCGATCAGCAGGATCAGGGGTGTCAGCTCAATCGTCTATCTTGATACCTTCCAGTTCGCAACCAAGACAGCCATGACTCGTTGCCTACGAGACTCAAACAAAAACTGGACAAGCCCAAGTCAAGCTCTCAACGGCACCCAGCACACCCCATGGAAGCAAAGAACACCCCCAAACCCCCCAACTCTTCGGTCCATGCATCTCAACGGCCTACGTAACCAAGCTTATGGCCCCCAACTGGCCGCCGCGCTGCCCAGCCCTCTCGCCACCAAATCTCCAGTGTCAGAAACAAAAATACCCTGTGATATTTCCGTACTATGTATACGAACCGCAAATCCTCCCCGGTCAGTCATCCGCACGGCAGCGCCTCAGCAGACAATGATACCCCGACACACGGCAGAGAACGAGAGACAGAGTTGCTAATTCTGTCTTCTACTTATTACATACCTACCTGCCTTTGTGTTAGTTTGGCACTCGTGGCTGTGCTGTGCTAGGCCGTCTCATTTCCGTTATCCCCCTTTTCTATTCGTATCTCCTTTGCTTTCGTTGCCCCCCCCCCCCCCACCCCGGGCGCGGGGAGCGAGAGAACGAACACGGAGATGGAAATAAATGCCGGGTTCAGTGACACTGACACACTGACACAGCTGTTGGTGTTGTTGTTGGCCACGGCAGCGGTGAGGGAGGATTGATTCAGGCCAACGCGACTAGGATCAGGGAGCGGTGACGGGGGCGCGGTTAACGGAGATGGCAGCTCGGCTAACAATGGGAAGGTCGGTGAAGATGAACAAGAAGAAGACGGTGACAATAATAGCAACGCCGAGCTCGCGACCCTACCAAGGTTGCATTACCTACCTTGCTCTGGTGATGAGTTGACGTGCCAGTCTCGCGGTCACCGTCCGTCAACCCCTATCCCGTACGTACCCTTGATAGGTGTGTACCTCAAACAGCAACCGGATATCCACACACCACTCCCAACAAGAAACAGCAAGGTAATGATCGGAAAGAAGCCATTGTAATTTTTTTTAACACAACTGCAGAAGATACCTGGTAGTATGTAGAATCTAAAAGCGGCAAATCGCAAACGCCGACGCGGCCAACCCAAACGGTAGACAGAGAAACAACAAGCCGCAACCTCGCAACCTGCTGCACAAACATAAACGCCGCCGCTCGTTTCTTCAACAACCATGTCCCATCACCATCCCATCTCATCTTCTCATATATCCCGTTTGAGACCCTCAAGTCTCCTCATATGCCGCGCCCCGCCCCATCTGATATCACCCCGCCTTTTCATAAACCCCATCTGATCCCTCATACCCACCCAACCAACCCACTCTAACCTGTCCCTTCCCAGTCCAGATCAACCCAACCCAACCCAACAAAGCCGAGATCAACAAACCCACCCCCCAGCCCGCTCTTACAGAGACCCAACGACCGAACCACCAGTTACCCACCTCAATACCCTCCCTGCCCATAAACCGCCCCAAACTGCCCACCCCCCGCCGCATACCCCCCCGCATTATGATTATGCCTGCGACTGGACCGTCCCGTCCCAATATCAATCTGCCTCAGTTCCTCCTCCAACGACATATTCCCTCCCCCCCCCCCACCACCACCACCACCACCACCTCCACCATACCCATACGTATCATTGTGACCCCCCTGCCCATACCCATACCCCCCATCTTGTCCTCCGTACCCCTGCCCCTGGCCATGATGATACCCATCATCAATACCGCTCCCCGCGCGCCGCGCAACACTGCTGCTATGCAGCTGCAGCGCACCGCTCATCCCGCTCCCATTTCCAGGTGATGAGGATAGGGGTGGAGGGGGCAACGCGAGCGGGACCTTGGCGGGGATCGGGGGCGCGCTGCCGTTGATGCTACCGCCGCTGCGGCTGTACTGGTGTGCGTGCCCGCCGGGGCTGCGGCCGGGGCTGCGGCTGTGGCGGCGGTGTTGGCTGGAGCTGTTGTGGCTGTAGCCGTTGGCGTGGCGCTGGCTGCCGGGGGAGGTGCCGTAGACACCGCTGGGGCTGCCCGAGTGGGAGGAGTGGTAGGGGGCGTGGTTCTCGTTACCGGTGGCGTAGTCGAAGGTGGCGGCGCGCGGGATGCCCCGTGGTGCGGTGAAGTTGTCCATGTGCGACGGGAGCGGCGCGAGCGGGGCCGGTTCCATCCCGTGCCCGCTGCTGCCGCTGCTCTTGCGCAGGACGGTGCCCCGGTTGGGACTGGGGTCCCGCCCCGGCGCCGGGCCGATGGCGCCAGACATCATAGGTACGATGGCGGACGTCGACTGGCGGTAGGCGGCCTTCTTCTGAAGACGGTTTCGCCCAGTCGCTGTTGCCGAGGTGATGGGTTCGACGTGGTCTGTTATCCCCCCGGAGAAGGTGATGGCCGATGAGGACGGTGCCGGGAGCATGGATTGCGTGCGGGCCGCGATGCGCAGCGGACGGCGACCCGAAGAGGGCACAGGTTGGGGACCGGAGAGCGAGGGACGGGAAGATGTGGATGACGGCTGTTTTGGCTCGGGCTCGGGTGCCCAGGTCTCCATAGGAAGGTGATCGGAGGGGTCAACTTCGCGGCCATCGTGAGTGATGATCTTGCCGGTGGCCTCGCTGTAGTCAGCACGAGAAGAGGCTGCATCTTTGATGGCGGCCGATGAGGTATTGGGGTTTAAAGCTTCGTAGGAGTCGGGGCCGAACGGGACACCCGACATCTGACGGTTTTCCACCGGCGGCCGGGGGCTGACTGACTTGCGTCGGATGGTATGCTGGTGGCGCGGGTTCGGGCTGGGATCGCGCGGCGGGTTGGGAGAGTAGGCGCGCGACTTGATGACCACGTTGACGCTCGACGTTGATGGCCCGTTGGTGTACGTAACGGGGTTCCTACCATGGGCAGACGAGGCATTGTACGGGACGACGGCCCCATCGTAACCGTAGTTATCGTTCATGGTCCTTCCCCGGGGGGGCGTCTCAACCAGGGCTTGCTGTGCATATCCGCGAGTCTGATTGGACAGTCTCCTTTCCTGGGTAATCCGCTCCGGGACTTCCTGGCCAATGTTTGGATCGACGCCCGGAACAAGGGATGCCGGCACCGGAGGTACCGGGTAGCCGTTCGAGGTGTCGTCAAGCTCGCTCCGGTACGTCAGTGCTTTTTGCGCCGTGTGGGAACCGTGCAATGGCAGGGAAGGTTCCGAGTGCCTGCCATAGTTTGGCGCATAGTCTGGTGATTGCCTTTGAGGAATCTCGGGCGCAACCATCTGATATCCGTTGGTACCTTGATGCCTCGGGTCTTGCGTGTGTCTCGGGTCCTGTTGGTAATGTGATGACTCGGTGCTGCTCCTCCCTGAAAGAGCGAGCGGCGCAGGACTGGCGCTCATGTCGTAGTCCCGGTCAAGATGGGGCTGCGATTGCGATTGAGGTTGCGGTTGCGGCCAGCGTCCCGAGGTCCTTCTGGGGTTGCTCATAGACTCGGGCGACTCGGGCACATCTTCGACGGTAGCCTGCATGGTCCTCTGTGGTTCGTAATTTCCATCGTAAGAATAATGCCGAGATTGGCCCTGGTCCGCCTTGGAGTATTGGTTGCCGGGGAGACCTGCAGGGGCAGAATCGTACGCCTTGTATGTCGGCCTTCCGGGGTAGCTTCCCGAGACAGAGTTTCGGTGGGCTTCGCTCCTCAGCACATCCTGTCGCATGGTTGGTGGCGTCGTTTGGAACGCCGGGTTCATCGAAGGGTTGCTTCCAGTTCTGCTCCTATGGGCGGGCGGTGGGGGTGGCCGGTCATCATTAACAGGCCTGTGGTCGTTAAGCGGTGGAAACTCGTATGTTTCCTGGCGGTCATATGCCGGCTGCTGCCGGTGTGTGCTGTAGATCTGGTCGTGCTGGGCGGCATGCTGCTGTTCGGCCCTCTCGGGCGTCCGGTACTGGCTGGGCGGTTCGGCGCGGCGAGGCGGAGTCCCAAGCTCCCTGCCTTGGTCCGGTTGTTGGTAGTACTCAGGTTGTTGGTGCGAAACTGGAGCGGGATTCGGCTGAGGTCGAAGCGGCGTCTCACCCTGCTCCGGTACGGGCGACGGCGGCGCTGGGGATTTTCCAGTGACGGGATCCGTGGGCAACGGGCGGCGCTTCGGCACTGGCCTTGGCCCAACGGCGGCTGGAGCTGGTTCAACGTCGGTCGGGACTGGCGGTTTCGCCTTTACGACAGGTCTCTCCGGCTTGGGGCGGTTATCGTAGTATGTGATCTCGATGCGGACCTCGCCGGCGTACTTGCCCCGACACGCAAGCTGGTGCCATTGGTCGCTCTGCCCCCCGCCTCCCACGATAATGTCGCGCAGGTCGATCCAGGACTCCCCAATCAATTCCGTCTTCTTGTCGTCGTTGAATACCGAGACCTTAAGCTGGTAGTAATCGGGCGAGTCGTGAACGGTAAATCGAAGTTCTTGGTCCCTGCAGCCAGATTGCTCAGTCAGTAGGAGTTCGAGGGTGAAGGGAGAGAGCTATGGAGAGCTGTGCTACTAAGTTGGGTACTCACCATTTCGGGGTCTGGCCGCCACGGATGTCGGTTGTGGTCTTCTTTGCTTCTTTCCCTAAGCGGGCCGCGCAGTAGGGGTCCTGCTTCCCGATGGTCTTGCGATTCGGCAAGTTCTTTGCTCGGTCGACGACGAGCACCAGTGTGCCAATCTCAGGCCCATCAGCGCTCATGTCGGAAAATATGCCAGCCGTGTGCATCCCATTGAGCGGATGGGTTTTTGACTTGGTCGTCATTTTGTCTGTGTTGCCGCGCGGGGCTGCACCATGACCCGATGTCGCAGTATTTGGGGGAATCGCCGGACAAGGCAAGATGGGTTGTTTACTTTGGAGTCAAAGCTAACGTTAGTTGGTTACCCCGCCGTCGCTCAATTCGGCTCGATTCGGATTTGGAACAAGAAAGCAAAAAAGATACTCGATACTCGAAAGAGCGACAGATAAAGGAACGAAGATGCCCCTCCAACACTAAAAATGCAACGAGAAAGGTTCCGAGATGGTTTTGGATGAAAGCATCCAAAATCAGCTGGCTTTTGGTCGCAGGGAGCGCAAGAGGTGCAGACGGCAGCATGCAAGTGGGATCCAATGGCCGGCTTGTTGACGTGCGCCAGGGGAAGCCAGCAGCCAAGGTTGGCTCGCGTCCGCAGTGGCTGGGTCTGGTGGGAGTGCGCGTCGCAAATCAGGGCATTGGGATTCGGTGGCTGGCATGCGCAAGACTGGCGCAAATCAGCGAGGCTGGGCTGTTGTGCCCCGCACCTGCGCTATGGCCCACATTCCAGCATGGGGGTTTCGTTTCTGGTGCGACTCGGATGCAACGCGGATCGGCCAAGCCCAGCGGAGCCAGCCCAGCCCAGCCCAGGGCCCCTGCCTCCCTGACTTGCAAAGCACCACCCATCTTATCAACATCGATCGATCTTCAAAACTCGACGAATGAACTTCAACGCAATTGTTGTCATTACAGATGTACTTGTATACGAATAGAAGTACGTGTTTGTCGGGTTCTCCGTAACGGCCTCGGTTATCCGTCCCTAGCCGAACAGCTTGACCACAAGAACCTGGGAACTGAAAAGGATGTTGGCAGCCTCTGCCAGGCGTTTGCTTGACCGACGGATTCTTACCGCCATCCGCTCCCGTATTGCTGCTGCAGGCATTTCTTGTTTTGTCTTTTCTTCAACCGGTGTGTTGTAGGAGAGAGGAGTATCAATGCTGTCGAGTGGCGCTTGGTTGGGTACACGTATTTCAGCGTTGCCGTAACGGTCAATGCCTTCCCAGGCCTTCCCGGCGATGCCAAGGATATCGTCAACTCAAGCATATCCTGTCACTCTTGGACTTACAATCGCAGTTGAACATGCAATCGGTAACTAAACGCCAGCGATGAAGTGCAGCGCGTCGTCCCTGGTCCGCGGCAATACAGGCGGGAGTGTCTTGGGCGGTAGGACCCGGGACTAGACCTTGCAGCCGCTGCATCGGATCTGTGCCGCTGCCACACGGCTCGTTGGCGCTATGCTCAAACATATCACTTGCGCTGTGTGAGACCATCACCGATGTGATGGCACCCTTGTACACGCCCGTTGGGGCCTGGCATTGGCTAGAACCTGGCCAAGACTGCCGTTTCGGGAAGAAGGGCATGCCTCGATGATGGGTTACCTCCTAAGATAGAGCATACAGCAGTTGGTTAGAGAGGTGATGTGCTGCTGTGTGTGGGTATAATTGTAAACCGGCGTCCTCTGTTCACAATCCTTGCCTTAATCTACCTATTCTCCTCGACCAACGGTATTGACGACTAGGCACTATCGGAAACAAAAATGGGTTCGTCAAGAAAAGCAAGTCCACCGCGGAGGCGGCCGCGGAAATCATTAATCTCCCGGGTGCCAACAACAACCCGATACATCATTGCATCACTCACCGCCGCTGCTACACTCGGATGGAGCCTATGCCAGTGGTACGCCGACAATCCGATTGGCTTCTCACATCACGGCGCATCGTACGTCGACTGGGATGCCCGGCGAGAAGAGGTCAAGGAGGCTTTCAACACAAATTGGGAGGCATACTCCCGATATGCCTGGGGTGAGACCATACCACCTTCGGCCGCTTCAAGACAATGCATTAACAAACATCCCAGGCAAAGACCGGTATCACGCCGTCTCGGGCAGGGGTTCCCAGATGAGCCCCAAGGGTCTAGGGTGGATCATAGTCGACAGCCTCGACACCATGATGATCATGAACCTGACAGAGCCCCTAGCCGAGTCGCGCAAATGGCTGCACCGAAGTCTTTCGTATGACCAGGACCAGGACGTCAACACATTCGAAACGACCATCCGCATGCTCGGCGGGCTCCTGAGCGCGCATTATCTCGCCGGTCGCCTGCCCGACGTGGCCTCACGCCGGGACTCGGTCTATCTGACGAAGGCAATCGACCTCGCCGACCGGCTGCTCGCGGCTTACGAGTCGCCGTCGGGCATTCCCTACGCCAGCGTGCACCTCGGGCGTAAGGTCGGGCTCCCTTCGCACGCAGACGGCGGGTCGTCGTCCATGGCCGAGGCGGCCACGCTGCAGCTAGAGATGAAGTACCTGTCGCACCTCACTGGCGACGAGCGTTACTGGCGCAGGGCCGAGAAGGTGATGCAGGTGCTGGACGACAACGCGATGGAGGCCGGCCTCCTGCCCATCTTTGTGCACCCCGACACGGGGCGCTTCACAACATCCGAGATCCGCCTCGGAAGCCGCGGCGATTCCTACTACGGTCAGTTCTTCCCTCCTCCTCCCTTTCCCGCTTCCTCCCCTCTCCTCCCTCCTTTCCCCTCCCCTCCCACAAACACACCCACCCACTAACCCACCCCCAGAATACCTCATCAAGCAATACCTCCAAACTTCCGCCACCGAGCCCATCTACCTCACCCTCTGGCACGAAGCGCTTGCCGGCATCGAAAGACACCTCGTAACCACCACGCGCAACGCACACCTCACCATCATCGCCGAACTGCCCCACGGCATCGGCGGGCCGCTCTCCCCCAAGATGGACCACCTCGTGTGCTTCCTGCCCGGCGCCATCGCGCTCGGCGCCACGGGCGGGCACACCGTCGCCCACGTCAAAGCGCAGGGTGCGTGGACGGCGCGCAAGGAGGCTGAGATGGCGCTCGCAAGGGATCTGATGAAGACGTGCTGGGGCATGTATGCGGTCACGGCGTCGGGGCTGGCGCCGGAGATTGTGTGGTTTGATGTGGAGGAGGAGGAGTTGAGGCCGAGGCCGGCGGGGGGGAGGGGTGATGGTGGTGAGGATGGCAAGAAGGGGGGGAAGGCAAAGCGGGATTCGTTGGCGGAGTGGAAGAAGGATTTTGTCATCAAGCCGCTGGATGCGCATAACTTGCAGCGGCCGGAGACGGTGGAGAGTTTGTATGTCATGTGGAGGGTCACGGGGGATCCGGTGTATCGGGAGTGGGGATGGAAGATCTTTGAGGCGTTTAGGGAGGGGACGGCGGCGGGGTTGGGGAGGGGGTATACGGCGGTCGGGGATGTGAGGGTGGTGCCGCCGCCGTTGAGGGATGAGATGGAGAGCTTTTGGTTGGTGAGTGCTCGTTTTCCTTTTTCTTTTCTTTGTCCTTTTCTTGCCATCCTGTTCGTGTTTGGAGGAAAGCTAACTGGGTGGGTAGGCCGAGACACTCAAGTACCTTTACTTGCTCTTCTCGCCGACGGACTTTTTGCCGTTGGAGGAGGTGGTGTTTAACACAGAGGCGCACATCTTTCCGCGGTTCAAGAGCCAGTGGAAGACGGGGTGGGAACGGAATAGAGTAGCGGGGTGTGGCGGTTGTGGGATGTAATGTAGGGTGTCTCTGGGGTTGGGAGTTGAATCATTTTTAGCGTACGCCGTGCTGTGCACCAAGTAGTAATGTCAATGACCATATTTTGTGGCATTCGTCGCAACTTGAAACCCGAATTAAGATGGTTGACATGTACGATTAAATGGGAAAGGTAAATAAACACGCTACCCCGAATAAGGAAATGTTTCACGCCGGAATAAGCTAAGACTGACCCACTCCGCTCGATCCGACCATCCATTCGTTCCCTTCCCCCAATCAATCCCTAACCCTCAACCACCTCCCGACCAACTCACCATCACCATCACCACCACACCATCAACACCACACCTCCCCCAGAACAACCCCAACCCACCCATCACCATGTCCTCCCCCACCGCCCAGGACCCCGACCCCCAACCCCCCGCCATCAATTTCATCCTCTCCTTCCTGCTCGTCGGCCTGGCCTGGGGTTTCACCACGCCCTTCATCCGACGCGCGGCGCGCGACCACCGCCCGCCGGCACACCCCGTGCTGGAGACGGCGGCGGTGCAGCAGAGCCGCGTGCGCAAGCGTGTGTATGCGGCGTTTTTTGCGGTGGTGGATTTGTTGAGGAATCCGCGGTATGCGGTGCCGTTGGTGCTGAATTTGACGGGGAGTGTGTGGTTCTTTTTGTTGATTGGGAAGGCGGGTAGGTTTTTTTTTTTTTTTTTTTTTTTTGAGTTTCGGGCTGGGGGGTAAGAGGAGGGAGGTGTGAGCTGGGGCGTTAAGGGTGTTGGGGGGGTTGTTTGATGGTTTTGGACTACGTGTCTGGGACGTCGTTGATGATGTTAGGCTTTTGCTTGTTGTGGGGCCTTGCTGACTGTGCTGCTAGAACTGAGCTTGACGGTGCCGGTTGTGAACACCCTGGCGTTCTTGTTCACTGTCGTCGGAGAGTGGTGGGTGGAGGGCAAGGTCATCAGCCGAGGTATGTTTTGGCTGCTCTTCTGTTGACGGGTGCGGTGCGGTGCTAACTGGTCAGATACCATGCTTGGCATGTTGCTGTCGGTGGGTGGGATTGCGCTGTGCGTGCAGAGCAAGAACGTTGCTTGAACGGGATGGGTCGGGGTCGTTCTGTGGACTGCTTTTCTCATCCTAGGTATGCCTCCATCGAGGTGGATTCGTGTTCACAAGGATGGCCGCAACAACACACCACCAATAGCGCGGGTTCGCTCTTGAGTTCAGGTCATCTTGCCATTCCCCTGAATCGCCCCCTCTGCTCCGGGCAGTCCCAGCTCCCCTGCCTACATGCCAGCTGCATCCCTGTCACAGGGCATAGGTATATACAAACGGAAACGTGCCCGACGCGCCGCGCAGAAGACATGTACAATGGAAACCCGCCCCGCCGTACAATGTCCGGTTTTCCCTGTTTCCGAGTGGTATCCCAATAGCAACAAAAATACCAAATCTAACCCAGCCTTTTTTGTTAATGCCCTGTCCCAAATGCTCCTGAGGAATGTAAGCCCGGAGAAGAAGAAAAAGAAGGAAAGGAAGAAAGAAATCCCCAGAGAAAAAAAAAGGGCGAAAATTAGAATTGATGATCCCCGCGTCATCGAGAAGTCAAGCCGGTCCGGAGAGGGGTGGGTATCTGATATGAGTGTTGGTGAATATGGTCTTGTCGTCTTGTCGTCACTCAGGATCGGGGTATCATCGTGACGGTCGTGTATTGTGTGGAATCGTGGGGTGTGTCGTTCAACACCTCCTGGTCCGCACCCAGCGCTGCACCGCGCGCAGGCTCGGGTCTTCGGCCGTCCAGCGGCCCATGGTCATGTCGGAGACTTGAAGCTCCTGGTAGACAACCTCGTCGGTGACGTTGGCGAGCTCCTGCGAAAAGCGTAAGCAAAATCCGAACGGTGGCGGTCGGGGCGGAGCAGCAGAGTCTGGGGCAGCGAGGAAAAGTGAGGGAAAGGGGGCAGTGGAAAAAAAGGGGACGAGGAGAGCAAGATGCATGTTCGGCGGTGTACGGCGGTGAAGGAGGGAGAAACGTACTGCTCGCAGCTGTTGGTCGACAGCCCTAAGTTGTTGCTGGTTTCCCGAGTGCGGCCTGCCGCCCATCAGGACCTGGTCCCGCCATTCGATCCAGCGCTGTGCCGCCGCCTGTCGGAGATAGATCTTTTGCCCTTCGTGCCTGCGTGCGTATGCATCGAGAAGGACCCTGCCAGACACGCAAAGACAACATGTTAGGGGAGTGACTTGCGTTGGGAGGGTTGGCCAGGGGAGAGCCAAGTGGTAAAACAGAAAAAAAGGACGCAAGGACAACGCACTGTTTCAACTCGGCCTTAGCCTGCTCTTCGGGCCCGCCGCTGGCGCATGGAACTGTGACATCGGCCGCGCAGTTCAGGATGTGCTGCCCGTCGAGCGCGCACTGCCGGAGCACCGCCCACCCCTCCGTGTAGTAGTCGTCCATGTCGGCCGGGTTGCAGTCCGCCGCGGCGATGTAGTACTGGATCGTGCGGAAATCCGACAGAAGCTCGGCCACGCGTGCCGTGCGGTATTCGTTGACTGTGTTCCCCCGGCGTTTAGGGTTAGTCCGTGCCGTCGTGGTATCGACGCCCTTGGGGTGGCGTCCGACCAACGCCCCGTAGGGCACCAGGGGGGCGGCTTGACCCGATCCGGGACGGGGGTGCAAGGGTTTGATGGGGGGTGTGGGTGGCAAGACGGGGGGAGGGGGGAGGGGTGGGTGGTAAGGATGGGAGATTTACGTACGTCCGTCAGCCATTGTGACTCTTGTCTCTAGATTGCTGTAGGATGTGTATTAGAGAGAGAGAGGGAGAGAAGTCTCGAGGAGGCAAACAAGCTCGAGGCTGCTCGGTCGACGGTCAAGGCGGGAGGCAAAGGAGTGAAGTATGCTCACGGGCACAAAACAAAGCAAGACAGACAGCGAAGTGCAGTTTATGCAAATTAAGAAGCGCAAGGCTGAAAGTAGAAGAGATTGGCGTCCCCGTAGAGGAGTGGTGATGATGGCTTCAAGGCTGCGATGGCAACTTTGTGGGTGCCCCCCCATGGCTTTTGTAGAATTTGCCATCGCGGATCCCAAAACCGTTGAGCTAGTAAAGGAGTCGTGAGGACTCCAGCGACTGAGTTCCCCTGACGATACACATCAGTTGAGCGAGTGCTGTGGGGGGTGACTACCGGGTGTCGTCCCCGATCCCACCTCAACAAGGCCTATACTTGCCACCGCGACTCACCCGCATCGAACTAGTCAAGATGACCCTCGGTGCTACCAGCCATTCCCGGCGCGCCGGGTTGATGCCATGCTGTTCCCGGTGGGGAGAGTGTCTGGTTCCTGCATCTGTATCGAGCAGCCGGGCGCCGCTGATGGAGAGACAGCCTCGCAAGGCCCCTACAGAGCTGTATGCACATGCGGTGAATCCACAGCAGCGATCCCTCCGCCCAATAACGGGGGCTCGCGAGCATAAGACAAGGAGAAACCGACCGCCGGATCCCACGGCTGCAACGGTGTGTTCAGATACGGGCCCTGGTCAGGCTGGGAGGACGTGCAGCCGATGCAACGAGAGGTGCAGGGCTGCCACGATCGTCCGGAGTTGCCATGCCCTTTCTGCTGCTGCCACGCTCTTAGGGTAGCATGCCTCCGAGTATCACTGCCGCTGGAGCACCCAAGTGGCCGGATCCTCAGATCGGAGCGGTGCCAAGGGAGTGGGGATCTCGTCCAGCAGACGTCCAGCAGCCGGTCGGCGTGGCTTGGACGCTGCTTGTCGTGCAGATGTGGAAATGTTTCGACAGGGGGGTCCCAGATCCGGAAACTTTAACGAGGTTTCAGCGGCGCCATCGAACGAACCAGCCCCAAATGCGGCAAGCCCCCGGCCTTGGTCCAGTTTTCGTCGGGAGGCAGCTTGGATGTCGGGAACCAATGGCGCCTGGGGCTTTGCAGTTCAACAACTCCCGTCACTGGATCCGGACTGAGCTGAACAAGAATGGTTCAAAGATGTCCTCAAATTTACCTCGGTCGACACGGCTCCAGGGGTTGAACGGCCTCCATCAAACAATTAGCCCATCCAGTCACATCCAGTCACCGCCTGGGGTTGCTGCGTCCTGTGTCACGTCGATAAAAGTTGTCGGCTTGGCCCGATTTGAACCGTCATCGACACACTCGCCAAGGCCGTGAGAAGAGGCTGTCGGTCAGCTTCGCAGGGTCCCAAACCTTACCTTGCATGCATCCATACACATTCCGACATGCAGGATCGAGAATCAACACCCCTACCCCCCCTTCAAAGCCTCGTGGGTAATCTGATGAATCCCACAGTTCCGGGTGGTTTTTGGCGTGCAGGTGGATGCAGTCATCAACGGCGAGATAACCGGCCCGTTGCCACCGCCTTGCTGGGCTCTCGGTATTGTGTAAGCAGACATGCATATCTGGAGATCACCACCCACAAGCCACCATTCATTCGAGGGATCCCCGCAACATGTTCCACTGCCCTCTCCTAACTTCTGTCAACGCTTTTGGAGCCGCATGAGGACGATATTCATTGGCAAGCATTTGCTCTATTTTGGGGTCCATCCCCGCAGGCTGCATGCCGGTGTCATGGCTGGACGAGGAAATAAGTAACGTGGTATTCGGGGATATCAACCTCACCAATGCGATATCCCGCTTCGCCCTAGCACATTTAGGGTTGGCCTCAATAACGAAGATCGCACCGGCTTCCGGGAGCATATTGGCTGCGAACCCCGTCGTGCCCTCCCGCCCCGTCTCAGTCCTTCTCAGCAATCGCCTGTAACCTCTCCTCGATCTCCTCTTCCGTCAGCCGCCTGAAGTCCGGCGTCGTCCCTTCCTTTCCGTCGGCGCGCGGCCCTCCGACGATGCCGATCTCGATCTCGGTCTTTTTGAAATCCATGCTAAGGACGGTGCTGAGCGTTGTGATTGCGAGCTCCACAACCTCTTTCCAGTCGCCAGGGGCATGGTCCTTGTTCTTGAGCTTCTTCTCAAGATGATTGAGCGCCTCCTGCTGCTTGGGGCCAGCTGAGGTGCCCTTGTACCCAATATAGTATCCGGCGGGATCGCACTTGAACAGTTGGGGCCCGACTTCGGAATCGAGAGATATCAACGTCGTCGCAACGCCGTACGGCCGCATGTACGCCTATAAAGGGTCAGCCAAGTCCCATCCTCATCTGCCCGACTTTCATCACATACCCGCTGGGTGTAGACTTGGCTGATGTTGGCCAACCGCTTGGCCAAGGCGTCGCAGGGCATTTCGTAACCGAACTTGTACTTGAAATCTGCTGCTTCCGATTGGGCGCGCTGCGAAAATGCGCGAGCATCGGCGATAGAGCCCGTCATGACGCAGCCCACCGACGGGGAGATCTGGAAGATGTGCGAGACAGAAGAGGGGTCGATGAGTTTATCCTAGCAGCGCCGTCAGCTTGGATGGTGTGCACGGCTGGGAGGCTGGCATCACATACCGGCACCTTCTTTTGAGACAGGACTACAGCGCAGTCCTTACCCCGCACACCAATCGACATGATGTTTGCCGCTGTGATGGCCTTGAAAGCATATTCTGTAGGTCCATCCATCAGCACAGCCCAAGTATCCCCGGTTTTGTCCTTGCCCGTATCTCCAACCCCCTCCCAGCCCAACCATCACCCTCACTCCCAACCTAACCAGTCGTCGCAGTCGTTGCCCCGCACTGTTGTTGTTGCGCATATGTACGTACCGACTTGGAACAGTCTTCCCTGCTCCGAGAAGATGGTAATGTGCCTGTCATAACCAGCGTTGCCTGTGCATCCTGTTAGCCATGGCGAAGTGGAGCTCGGAGCTGCCAAAGGCTCGAAGGGCTGAGGGGAACATACCTGCCATCTTGACAGACGTTAGATTATGAGAGTTTGTCGAGTATGACGGTGATGCGGGACAAGTCCAAGGCTAGCGGATCGAACTTGGTTTGCGGGGTTGTGGTTTGGGGAAGTTGGAGGGGGTTGTGGTGAGAGAGCTTCGTTGTTGGATGGACCTAGCTTCCCCCAAGCGATTGACGCGTTGCGGCGGTTTGCCTGGAGCAAGGCAGAAGGGGAGCTGACGGCTGGTGCCTCAAATGCCAGGCGGCAAGGCTGGGATGAGCGCCACCGCCTGGCACAAAACGACCTGACCTGGACCCACCAAACGACCACCCCACTGCTGGCAGATCTTATCTCATCAAGACCCCTGCATCGGGTACCGATAAGGTCCATCTGGGCAGAAATTTGCTGCGGGTGGCATGAACAGCTCTGGAGAGAGCACCAAAGACACCCAATAAGACACACAGAAATCCCACCCAGGGTTCCAATTCCAGCACTCTCGACAAACTTGGGTCTTGGAAACACGTTGCTTAGCCCCGTCTAGGTTTTACCCGTTGCTGTGGTATCCCGCAGCGCCATTTCTGACCACCCGTCCCCTCCTGCTGGGGCCAATTCCCGACAGCCCTCGTCCGCTGTGTTGTCCTGTCTCTCCCTCCAGTCGTCACCATGTCCGCCCACGTCCCGGCCTGGAAGCGATTGGGCCTCAAGCTCAAGGGATCTTCATCGGGCGAAGCTATCCCCAGCTCCGTCGGCCCCAATTCGCGAGCAAAGCCCTCTGCGCAGACCCCCAACTCCCACCAAACCCGCATAAACGGAAGTCCCGCGAGTGCGCTTAAAAGGAAGCAGCCGAGTTCTGCGTCCACGCCGAGCGCCGTCACAGCGCAAACGCCGAATAAGAAACCGCGAAGGGAGGACCAATCAGCAGCGGACCAAGGGACACCGTCATCATTGAGGAAATCAGTGTCGTTCGCGAACGACACCAAGAACAACACCAAGGAAAAAGCCAAACCGAAGAAGGCGAAGAGCAAGAAAGCGAAAAAGCCCAGCAGCACTGCCAAATTCGATTTCAGTCTCGAGCCGTCTCTGGCCTACATCCGCCAGTGGCACACGGCAAGAGATTCGTGGAAGTTCAACAAAAATCACCAGACCCTGCTGATCAAGTACCTCTTTGACGGAGACAAGGTGCCCTCCACCGACATCCCCATCTTCTACGAATACATCCGCGACCTGAAGGGCTTCGTACGGACAAGGCTACGGGAAACGGCGGCCGAGATCAAAAAGAAAGACATGGAGGCCGGCGCGGGCGCATTCCCCGCCGCCCTCAAGGACAAGGAGACCAAGCAAAAAGAGTACGAAGAGACAATATCCCGATTCCTCCAGGACCTCCAACGACACCAACAACGCCGCCAATCGAACAGCAATTCCTCCTCCAAGAACGCCAATGGCAAACGCAGCCTCGACGAAGTCGAATACGTCCTGCGCGTCGCCACCCCAGAGATCAAGCAGCGCTTGCTGAAGCGCATCCGTGCGGAGCTCGTCGTCGACGAGCTGTCCGACGGCGAAGAGGAGAGCAGCACGTCCGCGGCCTCCGAAGGGGCGGCAACAACAACAGCAACCGAGACATCCTCGTCATCGGCCTCCTCATCAGCGCGCGACCCCACCACCACCACCACCGCCGCCGCCGCTGCCGGGACTGGAACCGCCACGGGACGCAGCGACGGCTCCCAGCAGCCGGCGAAACGGCGCCGGTTGCGCAACGTGCGCACGGCGATTGACGATGACGACGACAGCAGCAGCTCGTCCGAGTCGGAGTCGGGGGAGAGCGGGTCCGAGGAGAGCAGCAGCGACAGCGACGACTCGGACTCGGACGACGAGATGGATCTGGCGCCGGACGGGACGGCGGCGGCCGAGTCGTCGAGCTCGAGCAGCAGTTCTTCGGCGTCGGAGGGGGAGTCGGAGGCGGATTCGGACTCGGAGGGGGGGAGTGAGGCGGGGACTAGTGGTAGCGATGAGGATTGAGCTTGAACTTGGGCACCGCCCGGTGTGGGAGTAGGTGATTGTATATACGTATGTATCACAATGTTGTTGGGGGCGCGAGTGGTGTAATACCCTAAAGTTTGAATGTATAAAGTTCCTAAAAACTGGATACAAAATCCATTTACAGTGCTATGCCTCTTGAAACAGTTGTACCACCCGATGATGTTGTGGGATGTGGCCGCAGCCTGTCAGCCCATCTTCAAAACGACGACCCGTTAAACCCGTGATGATCAACTCAACTGATTGCCCCCCATGAAAAAAAGGCCCATTTCAAACGCCATGCTAGTTCAAAACCCCAGATCGCACGCCCCGTCGGCACGACCAATCGCGCCCGCTCGCTCTTCGCATTCATGCATTCATGCATTCACCGTTACACAAACCAACCCCAACCCCAAATCCAAGTCAAGTCTCTTCAAACAACGTCCCCGCCTCCAACAACCCAATACATTCCCCCTTTTCCATAACCGCTACGATTGTCTCATCCTTATATAACCCACCCCCATCACCCGCATCCCTCGCATCCCTCTCCTTACCCACCCACTTCGCCGCCGCCAGGACGGTGGAATCCGCCGCGACCGAGACAAACGCACGGCGCGGCGTTACCAGCCACCCGGGTTTGTCGAGCGTGCTGGCCAGATCGGTGGTGTCCATGCGTCGAATCCGACGCGGCGAGACGACTCCCCCGCCGCCGTGGCTGTTCGTGCTGGTAGTGGCGTTTGTGGGAGTTGAGGGCGTGTTGACCCATACCCACCCCGATGGGCTGGCGTACCCTGTGCGGAGCACGTCGAGGCCGGTGAGGGATGTGCTGTGTGATGGGGAGGGGGAGAGGGTAGAGATGGTGTTGAGGGGGGTCATAAGGGCGCGAATGGTTGGCGGGAGGTTGACGGTGGGCAGTGGTTGTGGTGGTTGGGCCGCCGGTGGTGGTGGTTGTTGTTTTTGTTGTTGATGGAAAGCGGCACCAATCGCACCCCCGGGGTGATTCCGAGAGAAGACCGAGGAAACGGAGGGGTAGAGTTCCCGCGAGACGACAACCGCGAGTGCGTCACCGACGGCGAGAGCGACGGTGGTGGACGTTGTGGGTGCCGCAACGCCGAAGGACGCCGTCTCGGCTTCATGGACGGGCGCTGGTAAGAGGATGGTATCGGGCCGGTGGCGGACCAGGTCGCAGGTCTCGGGACGGATGTGAGAAGTGAGGATGAGGAGCGGGAGAGACTTGTCCAAGTGTGGGAGGAGGGTAAGCAGCTCTGGGGTCTTTCCCGAGAAGGTGATCATGAGGAGTGTGTCATGGCGCGAGATCTGACCCAGGTCGCCGTGCAGTGCCTCGGTGGGATGAAGGAAGACGGACGTGATGGCGAAGCTGTTGAAGGTTGCGACGAGTTTCTTGGCGATGTGCCCCGACTTCCCGACGCCAATGACCACCAGCTTGCCACCGTTGCCATGTCGGGTGGTGATGGTGTCAACGGCACGAGTGAAACCGTCGCGCGCGCAACGGTCCGAGGAATACAGATTGGTGAGATGCTGCAGAGCAGTAGTCTCGGTGGCAATCACGTGGACGGCCCGCGAGAGACGCTCTTCGATAGCGAGCTTCTTAGCACAAACCGTAATGTCCGGTTGTGTAAGACTACGGGCATCGATAGGTGCATCGTCGAAATCTTCGGCGGGAGTGATGGGTGACGGTGGCGAGAGAGGTGGGAACGGTGGTACTTGGCGCAGCACATAGACCTCGCTGTTCTGTACCGGCCGTTGATGCGAGATTTGTTGCACCATGGTGGAAGAGGTTGAAGATGGTTCTTTCCTTTGTTTGAGAGGAAGACGAAGTCGACAGCTGCTTCAGTTAGGCAAGTGGACCCAACTTCAGGTTCGCTGTTCTGGTCGGCTTTCGACGGCGACGGTTCGGAGTATTAAACTCCAATTCGGGTGCAGCCGGCAAGGTTAACCCAGTTCGGGAGGTATGGAGACCAGATCCGTTCTTGCATTCGCCCCTGATGGGCTCCAGGCAACCGGCCCCGGGGATCGAGTACAGGACAGCAGAATATCGGCTCTCCCTCTGCTCTAAGAGTCTGGGTCGCTGTCTAATACACGGTCAATTCGGACCGTTCGGATGCAATTCTTGGAAAGCGGTCTCTGCTACCAGAGATCCTCTATCCCGTATCGGGTGAGACGGGAGGGGTTTCACGGCAGACAAATTTGAAGGAAGGAGGCTCGGCGCGTTCTGGAGTAAATGAAGCAGAGAACCCGCTGTGGAGGGCGACTTGATGGCACATGCCAAACTAGGTACTGCGTAGAAGAGAGTGTGGGGAGGACTGCGCACCGAGCTCGTGGGAACCGTAGTTATCATTCTGTGAAATCCGAGAGAGCAAGACTCTCAACCTCCTCTTCAAGTACCCTACTGAGCTATTGAGCAGACTATCAGGTAACTACCTCGAGACAACAATTAGAAGAGATCCGCGGGGAGGCGTTGAACGTGAGGGTGAGCTCAGATCGTCGGACATTCCCGTCCGAAAGTGGAGACGACCGAATACCAAGATGCCATGCATATTCTGTCTCAGGATCGGGCGGAGTTATCGGCGACCGATTCACCACCAAGAAACAAGATGGGAATGGATGCTGATGAATCAACTGGTATCTGGTGGCGGGGTCGGCACAAACTGGTGGCGATGCCCCGCGATTGCGGCTCGAATCGGGACTTCATACGTTGATGCATGCGGCGACTAAGCCCCCTGTAGTCGCGCAACTTTGCGTGATTTGACCCGCAGGTGCGAGCGCAGGGGACCGACCAGCCACTTGGAAACAGGACAGTGGAACTTTTTCGAGGCACGGGCAGTTCACGCAGTTGGCCCAGCAACAGAGCAGTCACTCGTGATTCTCGGTGGAACTTCGGTTTTCGGCACGCTGAAACGGACAGCAGAAGCCAATTGTTTGCAGCATTGCATATTCTCAAAAATTTGAACACATCAAGCCGCCCTCACTTTCTTCTCCATGCCCCGACGCATCGCCGAGCTCATAGTGAAAAAAGAGGAAGACATCAAAAATTCCGACCGGAACGGCCCCGAAGGACAATTCAAAACGACGGGCTCCACGATGTGCAATGCAGGCCTATCGCTCTGGTACCCCTGCTTCATGATCCAGGTGTACCCAATCAAGGTAAGTATGAAGAAGAAAAAGAGAAGAGGAGGAAGATCTGGGAGCCGAAGGCCAAATAAATAGGCGAGAGCAGCTGGTCAGTGCACGCCTGCAATTGCCACATTGCAGTTGCTGGCACGTGACTATCCGCCCCAGTTGGTTCGCACGTGGCTCGCAATCTATCCCTACCAGCAGGTCCCGCTTTAGCTGCTGAAGATAGGACGCTGAACACTTGGAGAAAGTAGCCTCCAAGCTGATCTGCTAACAACAACCAAGGCAAGAGGTAAATGGTGCAGCGAGAAAGAGGGAAGAAGTAGGGGGCTTGTACGAGTTAAACGCAAAACGATCTGATCCGGATGTAGCTAGCGTGCTAAGGCCCTATAGGCCCAGTGCCTCCGGGCGAAATAAATTCCATCCATCCATCCAATCTATCCCTAACCCTTTCCAATCCCATGCCACCCGAGCCACCGTTGCCCCTCTCAGATCTTATCAGCCTGCCGGCAATCTAATCTACTGTCCGTCTTCAGTTAACTCTCAAACCATTGTCGGGATCACATTTGGAATTGGCGTTTGGCATCACTAGGTTTCTAATTGATAGAGTGCCATTTTTTTTCTGGCTCTTTCTTTTTTCGCACACCGTCATGTCGGACCAACTCTCGGTGCTCTTCGTCTGTCTCGGCAACATTTGTCGGTCGACCATGGCGGAGGGCGTGTTTCAATCGTTAGCCAGGAAAGAACCGTATAGCGAGCTTGTAGGAAAGATCGATTCCTGTGGGACAAGTGAGTCTCGTTCGCATCTGCACGGTTATGTCATGCTAATTATGGCTTCCCATCTAGGTGCTTACCATGTCGGTGATGGGCCAGACGAGCGGACAATGGCGACTCTCGAGGACCACGGCATCACCAACTATGTGCATTGTGCTCGGAAGGTTTGATTGCTACCTCCTTAACTGCCGCACCGCATTCTGACATATGTGGTAGGTCGACGCATCAGACTTCGACAAGTTCGATTACATCTTTGCCATGGACCGAGGCAACCTCGCCGACCTGGAGCGCATTCAGCGACGCAAGCCCAGCAGCAAGGCAAAGCTCATGCTCTTCGGCGAGTACTCTGGTACCGGTAAGACCGAAATTATCAGCGACCCGTACTACGGTGGTAGGCAAGGATTCCAGAAGGCGTATGAGCAGGCAACTCGGTTCTCGATAAATTTTCTTAGAGAAGTATTCCCCGACGTGGAACCTCAGCTTTGATGTCGAATAAAGCAGGCGTTTCGGTACGTTGATAACGAAGATACCAATGGTACATCGCTTCTAAAGCTGGCAAATTTAAGGCCAGCTGGTGCTCAGGTCGGCTCCCATATGGCGGCGCATGCTCAGATGTGCGGGCTGAACCAAACTAGCCCGGCGTTGTGCGACCTGAGGGGGCAACAAGAGTTTTATATTCCAGCTCCTGCGCGCGGGAGTACTGAATTCAGGGTATGTTACATAACGTTACTCCGGGAGAGCACCTCAGCTCTTTGGCCAGGCTCGAGCCGGGCATGCCGGAGACGATGGGGTGCGGGAGCCATTCAGCCCCGCACCATGCCCCTGAATAGCCTCAGCCCTACGGCCATCTGGGTGGCCCAAGACCGGCAGGCCGCCGGCATCTCGGCCATGGAGCAGGCACGGCGGAGTTCCATCCCAGCTCTCACCTGATGTTCACATTGCGGCGGCGACCTGACGAGCGCTTTTCTCTCCCTCTTAGCCTCTCAAACTTCAGACGACAATTTCCCCTCAGCTGCGGGGCACATGTCCAAAAGCAGGATCCAGCCGGTTGGCGTCGATCCTTGCTGTTGTGTGTGTCCTGTTGGGCGCACAAGAACACAAGAGGAAGCGAGACGGACAGCGTTTTGCGATAATATGGAACAGTGATCTGTCACCCTTCGGAACTCGGCTTGATCATCAAGATAACCTGCAGCGTGCAATTTCCTGGAGTGGCATCTCAAGTTGTCGCGCGCGTAACAGAGGTCGGAACGGTGATCAACTGCAAGTCAGCTCCGCTGCGCCAATCAGACAAACCGCCCAACGGCGCCCGAACCAACACGGCAGACCACGGTTTATAAAGCGGGGACCCTTCTTCGCGATCCGGCCAGCCGACGACTGAAACAGGCAAATCGGTGGGGCGCCATCCCTTGCTGGAGCGTCTGCCTACAATTGCTGTGCTCCAAAGCTGTCCCTTGCTGCCCTGCTGCCCCTGTTCCTTCGGGCTTCATCACACCCTACGAAGCACTGTGCCTGCCAACAGGCTGACCTAACCTGCTTGGCAGGCCAAGGTTGCACGCAGAGCGTCTTCTGATGGGCCCGGCGATGCCCTTGATCAACCCTCTGCCCCTCCATCTTTTTGCGAGCGGTGCTTCCATCTCTTGCAAATAAATACGAGCGAGGCTTTGCCATCCTGCCGTGTCTTCCAGTGTGGTGTTTGTCTCCGAGTGTCTATTTTGCCACCTGAAGCTGCCTCGCGCTCTCTCCGTCCCTTCTTGTACGTCATTCCAGTGACTACCTGACGGTTTCAGCTCAGCTCGCTTTGTGCTGCCCCTCCTTTTTCGGACGGAGCCCTCCCCACTTCGTCAGGGATTCAACCGACAGACACATTGCGAGAGCTGACAACAGACGACGGCAGCAAGAAAACTCGCCATGGCTGATCTACAGGGCCGCAAGATCTTCAAGGTCTTTAACCAAGACTTTATCGTCGATGAGAGATACACGGTGACGAAAGAGCTGGGACAGGGTGCCTATGGTATCGTCTGGTACGCGCTCGCTCTCCTCCACTGCGGCCCCCTCCGTGGCCCCGCATCATCGCATCAAAAGCAGCATGTGGATGGTGTCAGAGCGCCAGAACAACATAACTGACAAAGCCTCTCCAGCGCGGCAGTGAACAACCAAACCAACGAGGGCGTCGCCATCAAGAAGGTCACCAATGTTTTCAGCAAGAAGATCCTGGCCAAGCGCGCCCTGCGCGAAATCAAGCTCCTGCAGCACTTCAGGGGCCACCGCAACGTGAGGGAACTCGAGTCCATGCCCCCGTGTCATTTGATACTGACTAGTCTTGTTGCCATTCAGATTACCTGTCTGTATGATATGGACATCCCCAGACCCGACAACTTCAACGAGACATATCTTTACGAAGGTACGCATCGCAGCCTCGTCCCTGTGCTACCCGAAGACCCACCCTCCCACTGACAGACCACACCTCACAGAGTTGATGGAATGCGATCTGGCGGCCATCATCCGGTCAGGCCAGCCGCTCACAGACGCCCACTTCCAGTCCTTCATCTACCAGATCCTGTGCGGGCTCAAGTACATCCACTCGGCGAACGTGCTGCACCGCGACCTCAAGCCGGGCAACCTGCTCGTCAACGCCGACTGCGAGCTCAAGATCTGCGATTTCGGTCTCGCGCGCGGCTTCTCGATCGATCCGGAGGAGAACGCCGGGTACATGACTGAGTATGTCGCGACGAGATGGTACCGCGCGCCCGAGATCATGCTCAGCTTCCAGAACTACACCAAAGCGAGTACGTACACCCACCACCTCCCCCTACGCCTCTACACTGCCCTCTCTCTTTGCACGCGTGCTAACTCTCTCGCCCTTTAGTCGACGTCTGGTCGGTGGGCTGCATCCTAGCGGAGCTCCTCGGCGGGCGCCCCTTCTTCAAGGGCCGCGACTACGTAGACCAGCTCAACCAGATCCTGCACATCCTGGGTACGCCCAACGAGGAGACGTTGTCGCGGATAGGCTCGCCGCGGGCGCAGGAGTACGTGCGCAACCTGCCGTACATGGCCAAGAAGTCGTTCCCGTCGCTCTTCCCCAACGCCAACCCGGACGCGCTGGACCTGCTGGACCGCATGCTGGCGTTCGACCCGACGCGGCGCATCTCGGTCGAGGAGGCGCTCCAGCACCCCTACCTCGCCATCTGGCACGACGCCAGCGACGAGCCTGACTGCCCGGCCACCTTCAACTTCGACTTCGAGGTCATCGACGAGGTCTCCGAGATGCGCAAGATGATCCTCGACGAGGTCTTCCACTTCCGCCAGCTCGTCCGCATGGTTCCTGGCTCCGGTAACCAGGGCGGTAACATGCCCGCCCCGCAGGTGCCCCTGCCGTCCGGTGGTCAGAACCACCAGTGGAAGGCCGATGATCCCCGCCCCCAGGAGTATGGCGCCATGCAGGGCCTTGAGGCCGAGTTGGCAGGTCGGTGAGAGAGTGGGGTTGTGACGACTGCTGCTGCTACTGCTTGATGGTGATGGTGGTTAGGGGGAGGGCATTGGAAGTGAGCATGGACAAGGTGTGTGTGTGGTTTTTGGATCATTCATGGAGAGGCAGCGGCTTCCGAGGAAACCGGCTTTTTGATACTCCCGGGGGCGCTTGAGAACCCACGAGGAGGAACAAGGCGAGTGAAATTGACACGAGAGAGACGGCCGCTGTTGGGTGGCGAGCGGAGTCGAGTTGGGGTTTCTATATACAGTTTTGGCGGTGCTTTGCACAGCTGACACGGTCACAATCTCCTTTTGGGTATCTGTTCGAAATCGTAGTAATGATGATGACGGCGACAAATGGGAATTTTGATCCATGCCAATTCTGACTCGTGTCTTGGGCGATGGAACGCGTGGCCGCATGACAAGCCGTTGCACAACCGAACATGGAACACAAATGGCTCAGTACACCCGGCAGCCAACTCTGCCCATGGATATGACATGACATTGCAGGTATCATTCTATCTCTTCCTATCAGCCATGGGAACTACGGCACTAATCGCACACTCTCTTTTCTTTTTCCCGAATCCCAACCAGGAACGCCGGCGCAATGCAAGAAAGTAAGCCCCCCCTTTTCTTCCCCATCTCTACACAACAACCCACCATCCTCCAAGACCCCCTACATCTCTTTACATAGCCCCAAACATCAAACTCTCCACCATCCCATTCGTCTGAATCGCCATCTGCGCCTTCTCCACCTCCTTCGACACCTTCCCCAGCAACGCCTGGAACATGGACGCCAGCTCCTCGCTGCCACCAACATGCTCACTATAGATATCCAGCAGGTGGAACGACACATCGACGCAGATGCTCCGGTAGCGCGGGTCGGCGATGTGCTTGCGGACCCACCTAAGGAGGGGCAGCACGGTGATCTCGTCGCGGCCCTCGAGGGCCTCGCGCAGGGCGGAGCGGTGCCGCAGCGCCACCAGCACCGTCAGCGCCGTCACCGGCTGGTGCTGCGCGTCGCTCATGTCGACGACCTCGTCCAGCGCCGCCGCGTACCGGCCCTGCCGGAAGTTGCGCTGCCACGGCTTGAGCTTGACGCGCCGCCCGCCGCGCCCGCCGCCGCTGCCCGGTGTGTCGGTGGGGATGATCGCGTCGACGCCCTCGCCGAGCAGGTCCATGGATTTGTTGGTCATGGCTGCGCGCTTGCGCTTGGCCTTTTGCGCGTCGAGCTTCTCGAGGGCGTCGGTGCCCACGTCGCGCGCGGCTTCGACTGCGGCGCGGTCCCGGGCTTTCTCGGCGGCCGCGCCGGAGAGCCGTGTCCGGAGGGACAGGACGCCGGACTGCATGCCGACGGCGAGGTGACGGTCTTCTTGGGCGGCGCCGGCGGTGATGACGGAGAGGGAGAGAATGGGGCTGGGGTATTTGGAGCCGGCCACGACATTCCAGTCGGTTGTCTCGAACACCTTGACATGGCCGTCCAAGCTGCCACTGACGACGCGACGGCCGTCGGATGCGAGGGAGAGTGAGGTGACGGTCTTTTGGTGGTTGGTGATGAGGCGGAGGGGCTTCGCGGCGACGAGGTCGAGGACGGAGATGGCGCTTCCGGCCGCGGCTAGGAGAGTAGTGCCGGACTGCAACGGAAGGACATGTTCGACGGGGTCGGCGTGTTTGAAGGTCATGACAGCGCCTCCTGCTGCTCTCGCGTCCCAGACCCGGACCGTTTCATCGTAGGACCCTGACACTAGGAGGTTGCTGTTCCCGCCTGGCATGAATGCGCCGCACCGTACATAGTCGGAGTGGCCCGTGAACATGCGGCTCGGGTTGTTCGAAGGCAGATCCCACAACCGAACCGTCTTGTCATCACTAGCGCTCATAAGAGTCGTCAGCTCGGTGGGCGACCACTTCGTCACCCACACGGGCTGCTTGTGGATATGCCAGGTTTTGAGGATCACGGCCCGCGTTCCACCGCCCACGTCAAAGACCTGCATCCTGCCCGAATCCTCGCCGGCAACCAGCACCCTTCCATCGGCGCGAATCTCGCCGCAGTGCGCCTCGCTGTCGAAGCGGCCAATGGTCTTGAGGGGTTCGCGCTTGCGGATCGAGAAGATGTCGACACGGGGCCCGGACGTCACGGCGAACAAGTCATTGAGCTTGGTTGCAGCTACGAGAGAATTGGAGACTGTCCCACCCGCCGTAGGGAAGCTGATGTGGGAAATGGGCCACGACGCCGTCGATGTATGGGATTTCTGGTTCTTGAACGACCTCCAATACCGCTGCTCGGCCGTGACGGGGCTAGGCCCCGATGGCAACTTCACTTGTGCCAACGGTAGCACTTCTGCCGCCATTGTTGTTGTCACGATCCGACCGTGGAAGGGGGTGGGTTGGGCTTGTTCGGTCGTTAAGTTTGCGATTCGGCCGAGATCTGGGACTGCGCGCTTGTGATTGCTGCGATTGCTGCTTGAAACTTTTTTTTTTCTGCCTTTGGCTCTCGCTTGTCGCTTGCAGCAACTCCAGGCCAAGCCCCACCTTGGCACGGCCAGCCCTGCTCGAGCGGCGGTGCCATCCAATTCGCGTTTGGGAGAAGCTGACCCCGCTTCTGGGGGAGATCCTGGCACCCTGGTAGCAGGGAGGGCCCAGAAGGCTCCATGCAACCGTGCATCCGATCGCTGTTTATAACAACCCATTCCTGGAGTAGGCGGTATACTGTGTCGCAGGCATGTCACAGCATCATCTCAAGATGAGAATGATAGCTAGGTACATAACGTGGTTCTGACGACTACCGTCAAAACGACTGCTTCGACAGGCACTCGACCTCTATCTCTGCTGGAATCTCGTATGCGGGCAGTGCCCTCACTGCGAAAATGCTATCTTCCCTGTCTCGGAGTCTTTCTAACCTCTGTTCCAACCGCAGATCGATAGTCCTGGTTCTCCTCCCTGTCCTCCTGCGGCACGGTCCCGTTGACGACCGGGAAGGATCTTGAAGTCATCCGAAAAGAGACCTGCAAACGAAAAATATACCAGGAAATACCAGTCGCATTCTGTTGACCTATCGCGCAGGATACCTGGTGCGAGCAATAAATCGATAGTCGCAATTTGGTGTCGAACCTGGCCCAAGAGTATGCCCACCATCCCCCCCATGCAACGGTTTTCCTGCTCTTGAGACACACGAGACCTGATTGGGCAAGCGTGTTCCCGACGGCGTGTGCAACCTCAGCCCATCGCCAGAAACAACCCCCAAACACCCCGTTGGTTCCAGCATCCCGAACAAACCAACAACAAATAGGGAAACATCAAGAGCTGTGGTTATCGACCCGGGTTCTATCATTCCCTACTTAAAACAGACCTCAGGATTTCCTATTTCAATACCAAACGAATCTAGGAGTCCTGAATGGTTTGTGCTTCGTGCCATATTTCTTAAGATTGTGGTGGGGCCAAGTTGACGAGGGACCCTACATCGCTTTGTCTGTTGGCTGCAAGGTGCGAAACTGCGACTTCCCTCCGCACCGCAGAGCAACCGTTCTTGCCACGCCCTCCCGTCCTTCCTGTGCGGGCACCCGTCGCCCAACATTTAGCTCGATTCTCTGGCCTTTCAGCTTTTTACGCGCGCTTGCGCTGTTCTTCTCGCTGGACCGGCCGACCCTTCCGCCCAACATCCCCCAAGCTTCCCATCAATGGTGCGTGATCCTCGCGCATTGCCGCCTTGCGCAATCTCGCAACCCGCCACGCCCGGCTTTGTCGCCCGAAGCCCGTTTGCGAATCCTGAGATTGACTTCTACTTGTACTCCACAGTCTCCGAGCATCCCCTGTCGCTTCGCGGCCAGACGTTTGGGTGGAGAGTAGAGTACGATGCCACCCCCCAAGCCATCCGTGGCCGCGAATCCCCGTCCCTCGGCCGCTTCCAACAGCCAGATCGCATCCTCTAATGCCACCGCTAACGCCTTTCTCGGCGGCCGACAGCCATCATGGATGACTCCCGGCGCATCGATAAGGAATCCCACTGCTCCCCGACCCGCCGTCCCTCGACCGCCTGCCGTACAGGCTCAACAGCAGCAGCAACCGCAACAGCAACCGCAACAGCAACAACAACAGCAACATCAACCCCAGCAACAGCAGCAACAGCAACAACAGCAACAACAGCAACAAGTGCAGCAACAGCAGAAACAGTATGCTCTCTCCATGCCCACGGCCGTCGCAAGTCTGTGTTGCAGGCGTCACGCCCTCTCACCTCACCGCCCTACAGAACAAGCCGACGCTAACTTTGGCATCTTACCTAGGCCTGCCGTTCTCCCGTCACCCGCTCCGAGCGACGTACCGAGCCCTGCCCACTCGAATTTGCTCGATAGCCCCCAGGCCTCCCCTGCCCCTCTCGCCGATGCGCGCAGCATGGGGTCCAGAACACCCTCGGCCCCGGTAACACACCCAGTCGCCAATGCCCGGTTTGTCCACATCCCATCTGGCAGCCCGGATGTGCAAGAGATCCCGCGACCGGGGTTGGCCAGCCCAGCGCATCAGGTTGAGAACCACTCACCTGCCGCTGGGTACATATCGCAGCCTCCGAATAACGGCCCCCAGACCCTGCAGAACACACACGCCCCGAATGTTAGCCATGGAGCTGCTCCGTTGTCCAGCGCCTCTCAAGAACATGAGCCGTCTCGTCCCGCATCAAAAAGACGGCGCACTGGGTAAGTTTAGCGCTTAGATGCTGTATGTAGGTCACCACGGAGCTATGCTAACTTTCCCCGTTTGCAGAAACACTGCATCTATCTCGGACGCAGGCACTGGTCCGCTTCTTACAGCACTAGAACGGCATGTTCATGCTTCTGGGGGCGAGCAGGCGCTCAACGGCGCCGTGGAGAAACCAAGAATCATGCTCCTTAGGGAGGC